TGGCGCGTAGTCACTTGACTGATTTAAGATCTAGACCGAGTATGAGGATCGTGGTAATATAATTAATTTGAGAATTCATGCCTGGAGGGCACTCTGTTTATTGGGTTATGGACTGTGGAGGTTTGCTCCGGTTACGATGGTTGTCCTAGTGTGTTATGAGAAGAGCGAAAGTAGTATGGGCCTTTGAAGAGTTATTGGCTTAGTTTCATGTGTTCAGGATCGACTTGAGGTCGGTGGATGGGTGTAAATGTGAATTTGGGCCCTATGTCAGGCCAGTTGTGTTCATTTCAGTAATGCGCTCCTTATGTGGGAGTAGTCAAAGTGTTATTTCATTGGCAGATATATTTCATGAAATGATGTATCGCGCCGTATGAGTTGTGAGACGGCTTGGTAAATTCTTATGTGTTAAGGTTCCGCGTGGCGATGATGTTATGTGAGCAGGATGGCTCTTGAGACTTAGGTCTTGTATCGCACCTCAGTTGTGTTTGAGTTTTGTGGCTTATGACGCCATATGTTCCCTCAGGGATGGTATTATGCACTTAGCGTGCTTATGACCGCTATTCGGTATGTTGTATAATGAGCAAATTTAGCTCGATGTATATCTCCTTATGTGAGTTCTACGTATGGATCGGTTGGCACGCCGCCATGGTTATGTTGTTCGGATCGGGTTGCGCGCCGCAACAGCGTAATGTTCAGTACGGTTCCCCATACCTGTTTATTGTGTTCTGTTTCCTATTTTCTAAGGAAAGTCCGTATTAGTGCGGGAGTTAGGTAATTCTTTTCAGAGTTCATTTTCCTTTTGAATCGCATTCTAAAATGGTAACTTATTGGCACATTGTGGTATCACATGAGACTTTTGATTATGTCCGGGGTGGCTTATTGCCTGAGCAGTTCGTACTGGGCGAGATGAGCCCATTGAATTCAGGATCAGTGCAATCTGACTATATAGAGTATGTTAAGGAGCAAGATCTCCACTTGATTCAGAATATGGTGATGTTTCCTGTCAGAAGTATAGACTCAATGATTGGTCGACTCGGCAATGATTATGAATTTCTTCACATCTCTTCTGTTGTGAAGGTGTTGTAAGAGTTGGAGTAAGACCTATGTATGTTATGGGGTGCAATGGGGGCACCAGATTCGTGGAATTCCAATTAAGTGGAACAAAAAATGTTATCGTGATCCGGTGAGTAAAATGATGAAAAAGTGTGAATTCAGCAAAGTTGTGCAATCATGATTGGGTACAGCGTGTGGTGGTTGATACGGTGTTCGTATGTTGGAAACAAGCCAGGCATAGAATTCCGGATGTTGGAATTGGTCCCTAAGGCTTATTTACCTTGATAAGAGGGAATATCTTCAGAATTGATCGAGCTGATGTGCTCAACTGAGTTGTGGTAGCACGGGAAGGTGCATGAGAAGTTAACCAGTGATTTCAGACTACTCCAGTATAGTTCTCAGCACGTTCGAGGATGAACGTTTGTTTAAGTGGGAGAGAATGTAACGACCCGACCGGTCGTTTCGAGTTCTAACGCTCCGTTCAGCAGTCGGAGGCCATGAACAGCCTCACCTCAGGTATTATGACTTGTACGCGCAGTCGAAATTAAATTTCAGGAAGTTCAAAGTGATTCAGGAAGAGAATTCTCATTTCAGAAGCTTAAAGCTGAAAGAATGAACTAGGATTGGATTCTTTGAGTAAACGACCTCGGAATCAGGATCTGAAGGTTCCAGCAGGTTCGTATGATGATTTCGGACTTGAGCGTATGCCCGGTTCAGATTTTGGATAACCTGGGAGCGTTTTGGCGCCTATTGTGGAAGTTAGCATTTTAGAAAGAATTTCATAAGTTTGGTTGAAAGTGAATTTTAATTTTATCAATGTCCGTTTGGGATATCGAGACTGCGTATAGCTCCGTATGGTGATTCTGGAGTTGGGAGCGCGATCGGAAGTGAATTCGGAGGTCCGTGGGTCATTTTGGAGCCATTTGGCTAAAGATAGAAATTTGAAGGTTTTTGAGAAGTTTGACCGGAGGTTGACTTTTTGATATCGGGGTCGGAATCCAGTTCCGGAAGTTGGAGTAGGTCCGTAATGTCAAATATGACTTGTGTGCAAAATTTGAGGTCAATCGGACATGATTTGATAGGTATAAACATCGGAAGTGGAAGTTGGAAAGTTCATAGTTCATAAAGCTTGAATCGGGGTGTAATTCATGGTTTTAGCATTGTTTGATGTGATTTGAGGCCTCGAGCAAGTCCGTAATGTGTTTTGGGACTGGTTGGTATGATTGGTTGGGGTCCCGGGGGCCTCGGGTGAATTTCGGGTGATTAACGGATCAAATTTGGAAGTTGAAGAATAGCTGAAGGGATCTGGTATCTGGTATTTCCGCTTCCGCGGAAATGGGACCGCAGAAGCGGCCCCGCAGAAGCGGAGAGGAAGCCGCAGAAGCGGACGAGGGCGAGGGCAGCCAGGACCGCAGAAGCGGCCCTTGATCCGCTGATGCAGAACCGCAGAAGCAGTTGGCTAACCGCAGAAGCGGAGGGCCTGGTGTGGAGGGGAGCCGCAGAAGCGGCAAGCGGTCCGCAGAAGCGGACCCGCGGAAGCGGGCAGGGTCACGCTGAAGCGGAAATGACTGGGGCAGTGAGGATGTTTTAAGTTCGGGGTTGAGTTCATTTCAACCCCATTTTTCTTCCATTGGAGTCGATGTGGAGCAGCTTGGAGACGCCATTTTCGTCACTTGTCGTGAGGTAAGTAATCTATACTAGCTTTGAGTTAAATATATCAATTATACATGGATTTAGGCGTGAAAATTAGTATAAAAAGTGGGGTTTTGGTGGAAAACCTAGAAAATCATATTCTTGGAATTTAGCTACGATTTTGAGTATGGAATTAAGAGAAAATCATATATTTGAGTTCCTAAGGTCATGGGTAACCTTTGTCTTCGAGAAATTTTGGATTCCGGGCACGTAGGCCCGAGGGCATTTTGGTCATTTCACTAAGCGGAGTTGGGAATTGGTATAATTTGCATTGTTAACAAGTACTTGAGTGTATTCTCATTAGTTTGTCGTTAATTGGCTAGTTTTGGAGCAATGTGCATTGGTTCAAGCCTTCGGAAGAATGTAGAATGCCGGTTATGAGTCTTCGGAGCGAGGTGAGTCTCCTTTCTAATCTTGTGAGGGGGAATTTACCCCATAGGTGAGTTAAATTGGTTATGTGCTCCTATTTGTGGGGGCTACGTACGCACGAGGTGACGAGAGTCCGTGCGTAGCTACTATTTGCTATTGTCCGGGTAGCTAGGACCCAAAAGCATGAATACTTGAATTAATTGTAAATTCTTGGATAGCTCAAATTGCTTGTGCCACATGGAATTTGTAAATGAATTTCTAAAGAGATTTAACCTTACTTGTAAAATTTTGTTAAAAGAGGAATTTATATATATATATCGATAAACACTCCCTGATAAGTTCTTACTTGATTGATTGAGCATGCTATATTTGGATTAATTGTGAACCCCTTTGAGGGTTTGAATTGCTTAAATCACATTAAATTTATAAAAGGATTTCTAAAAAGACTTAAGCTTCGCTTCCTCAGATTATTTAAAGAGAGTTGGCTTTTCTTGGATAATTGCTCCATGTTGACTTATTGACTGACTGTCTATCTGTGTGTGTTTATTTTGGAACGGGCCGAACGCCTCGGCAGATTAAATAGATGCATCTATAGGCGCGCCGTCGACCCTCGGCAAGTGCACATTTACTTTCTGTTGGATCGGGCCGTCGCCTCGGTATGATTTGCGCATGATATCTTTTATATATTGATGCATGAGAAATCTTAAATGATGACATTGCCTTTCATGGCTTGAGATGAACTGATTAAATGAAGAAAAGTAAAATCTTGAAAATCCTTTGTTAATTGTTAAGAGGTGTTTACCTGTTTTACAGCTTTGTGAATTAGAATATGTTATATAAATCCCTTATTTCCCCAAACATTTAATATATTATTATTGGACCGCTAGTGAGTGTCCAGGTTGACCATCTCGTCTCTACCTCTTCGAGGTTAGGCGGGATACTCACTGAGTACACGTTGATTTCGTACTCATACTACACTTCTGTGCATTTTTGTTGCACAGGTATATGTTACTTTAGATAGCAGCACGGATGATTTGGGGACTTGGTGAGCCGCATTGTTCGAGATGACCCGCAGCTAGAGTAGTCCCCTTCCAGTACTTTATTTATTGATTCTCTGTCCACTGTATTTCGGACAGACATTTGTATTTTATTTTCCTTATCAGTACTTGCTCATGCACTTGCGACACCGGGTTCTGGGATGGTTTCTTTGAAGATGTGTATTAATAGTTAATTTCTTCATTTGACTTGAAACAGAGATTATTTTATATATGAAAAATGGAAGTAAAACTCCTAGGTTTTCAAAGTTATAAAAAGAGAATTTAATTGGTGATTCAGTTGGCTTGCCTGACAACGGTGTCTGGCGCCATCACGACCCGTGGTGGATCTGGGTCGTGACAGATTCGGTAGCATTCTTGTGCGATGCGCGGCTCTCCCCGAATGTTAAATACTCCCCATGGGGTGGGGAACTTGATCACTTGGTAGAAGCTTGAGGGGACTGCTCGCATGGCATGTATCCAAGGGCGTCCTATGATGGCGTTGTAGGCCATCTCCTGGTTCATGACGTGGAAAGTGGTTTCCAGCGTAACTCCCCCCGCTAAAACCGGCAATGATATCTCCCCGGAGGTCCGTTCTACTGCATTGTTAAAACCTGTCAGTGTTATGCAACGCGGTATTATCTTATCTTTGAGTCTCATTTGCACGAGGACTCTTGGATGGATAATACAGGCGCCGCTTCCGTCGTCAACCTTGATTCTCTTAACATCAGTATCGGCAATACGTAAAGTTATGACCAAAGCATCAATGTGAGGAAAAGACAAACCGTCGGCATCGGACTTATCGAAGGTGATACTTTCTTCGAAGTCGTCATACCGTTCGTGGGCGATTGTTCATTTCAGATTGTGCGGGGTGGTGAACTTTACGTGTTTGATTGCTGAATCATCGCCGCCTCCGACGATCATGTTTATGATGCGTGCTGGCGAAGGTGGTTTCGGCAGCCCTTGGGGTTGTTCCCGCCCTCGTGCGAAGTTGGTCTTTCCCTTATCGCTAAGCAGCTCCCTCGGGTATCCTTGGTTCAGCATCCTGACTACCTCTTGTCGTAGACCTATGCAGTCTTCGATTTTGTGTCCTCTTTCCTGATGGAACTTGCACAGGACGTTCGACCTCCTTGTGGTAGGATCTGATTTCATTTTCTGCGGCCATTGCACCTTGGTGCCCAGCTTCTCCAGTGCGTACACTATTTCTGAGGTAGACACGCAAAAGTTATGGGCAGATAATAAAGGAGGCATACCTTTTTCATTCCGGAGTGGAGCGACATGTTGTTGCAATGCCTCTGTGTGCCTCGGCGGTGGTGGATGGGAGGATCTAACGTAGGGCTGATGCCTTTCTTTGTTGAAGCGCGGGAGCTGTTCCCGTCGCTCATCGTTGCGTCGATCCCTTCTTGTTTCTGATTGTATCGTCGTTAGCCGTTGGGTCAGTCCATTGAGGTCGTCCTCATCCGCTCGTACTTCGGCACAGTAGGCATTGTGGATCTCTTCCCATGTGGTGGGGGGATATTTCATGAGTCGGCTCAGTAGCTTTTTGGTCGCCCTCGAACCATCTCTATTCAGCCCGTTTTGGAAAGCTGCGACTACCATGCCTTCCGATACATTTGGTAGGCTCAGCCTTACCCTGTTGAACCTGGCCAGGAAGTCCCTGAGTCCCTCTCCTATGGTTTGCCTGACAGCGAAGATATCGTTGACCCTGGCCTCTGCTTTCTTTGCTCCTGCATGGGCAGTGGTGAACTTATCCGCCATTTCTTCGAATGTTGATATTGTCCTAGCTGGTAGCTGAGAGTACCATGTTAGGGCCCCCTTGTCAACGTTTCTCCGAACTTTTTCAGCAATACGGATGGTACTTGTTCTTTTGACAAATCGTTGCCCTTCACAGCGGTCACATAGTGGATCAGGTGGTCTTCGGGATCCGTAGTCCCGTCATATATCCTCAAGTAAGGTGGCATCTTGAAGGTTTTCGGGATCGGGTGAGGGGCAGCCTCCTCGCTGTACGGCTGTTCGACGAATCTTCCTACGTCGTGTTTTGGCAGTAACTTAGGAGCACCGGGAATTTTGTCTACTCTTTCCTGATGCTCTTTCATTTGATCTCGAAGTGCCTTGTTCTAATTCTCCATTTCTTCCATCTTCTTAAGGATGGCTGCAAGTGCACCATCGTTGTCCTGGACATCGATGTGGGTGTTATTTGTCTGTACAATATCGGGTTCACCGGTGGTAGCGGCGATGTCTGCCACTGACGGATTTCTAATGTTGCTTTGGGATGACTTTTCAAGCAAACTACCTAGAGTGTTCATCAACCACTCCTCCAGTAGTTTCTTGACCACCGGGGGTGGTGTTTCTTTGACTGCAGATGTAGAGGCTCCTTTTTCGTGCAAGATTGTCAGGTCTTCATATGAAGAGGGTGAGATCTCTCCATCCGGTGCGCTACCAGGTGTTATACTCAAGATGTTCTCTCTACTGGCCTCGTTGAGAGGGCCTATGAGATTGGCTGTGACGCCTGCTATTGCTTTCATTCTTGCGTCATTTTCTGCCATTTTCAGTTTCTGTAGGGTGTGAAGAACGGTGGTTCGTTGTTCCTTTCGATATTCTAGGTGCAAACTATGATTTCGATTGCCGAAATCCCCACAGACGGCGCCAAATTGTTTGACTCGAAAGATACTAATTACTTTATAAGTGAAAACAATCAAAGTGAATCAAAGGTAAATCGTAATCGAAGATAATGAGACCTAAAGATATGTATTATGTTTGTTATTGCTTCCAATAGATTGGATATTCAAGAGAGAGAGAGAGAGAGAGAGAGAGGGAGAGAGAGAGAGAGAGAGAGAGAGAGAGAGAGAGAGAGAGAAAGAGAAGGAATTCGTTCAACCCAAAAAGATCCCTTCTACAATATTGGGGTCCTCCTTTATATAATAGGAGACCCTCCTTGAAATAATAAAATAATACAGAGATTGGTCGCGTTCTTTCGAGGAGACGACGAGACCGATGATACACTTCACTCCGACATTCTTAGGTCGTACCCTTACTTCGGTTAGCGTATATTCGTTGGTCGTTCCTACCAACGTGGAGACGTAGTGGGCAGAATTTGACCCTATACAGGATACAATATGTATAACTAATAAGTGTGGAGGTTTAAACATCAAGGGATTCAAGTTATGGAATATGGCATCTGTACGGGCAAGCTTCTACGGCAACTGCTGACAAACAAGGAAGTACTGTAGGTAAGGTGGATGCATGGCATTTATATGAAAACATGTAGGAGTATATGGGATCACCAACCACCTACAGATTGCATTTGGTACTGGAAGAAGCTTAATGGACAAGCACAATCTGACATAGTGGTATAATGGAAACACATACATTCTGACTGGAAATGGTACCTACTCTGTCTCAAGTAGCTATATTGCATTGCTTGGTCAAATATCAAGAATGTGGGAAATGGACTTGATATGGAGTGGTGTAATGCTACCCCAAGCAGGGATTTATACTGTGGTTAGGCAATCAACACAACTAGGGGGAAACTTCTGAAGTTGCATATTCATGTTACTAGAGATACAGGTTGTTCCATGTGTGGATTGGATGTTTTAGAGACTCATCAGCACTTGTTTGCAGAATGTAGATGGGGTGAAATCCATGAGATGAGCATTAACAAGGTGGTCAGGTATAACTCTCCCGAATATGATATTATCTGAGCAGTGGATTAGAAGCAGGCACTGAAAGCAGTTTAGAAAGGAATTAGCAGGAGCAATGCTAGGTGCGATGGTCTATCATACATGGAAAGCTAGGAACCGGAAAATATTCACACAAGTTAGTCTAAACATGGAGTTTTGCAATGGTCAAATCCAGAAAGAGATCAAAGAAAGGATAAGCACGCGTGCAAGGTCAAGAAGAGCAAGGAAGTGTCACGTATTAATTCATAGATTGTGTAGTTAGTTATGTGTAGTAGGTTTCTTTTTGTATTGAGTCTATGTATTTAGACATGATTTCTTGGGGTCTTGATGTACTGGGAAGTTCCTACTACTATCGATGCTCCTTAGCGTGTAAAGCTTTCGGTTGTTATGATAATATTCACAGATTATAACAAAAAATGACTTATTTTCTAAAATCTATATTCGTGCTGTTATATAAATTGAATACCAAAAATTGATAATAATATTCAAGTGTTAAACAGAACAGTAAAAAGTAATACTGTAACATTAGAAACTAATATAGTTGTAAATTAAAATGACTTTGACCGCTCGTGTAAAGTAAGGCCTTATTTATTAGCACTTAATGGAGGTTTGAATCTTAACCATTCAGATCACAGACATTAAGTGTGTTTTTTTTAAAGTCTGAATCTTAATAATTCAGATCTTAATCATTAAGTGTTTTTTTTTACTTCACAACCACTTTATGAGTCCGAATAGGTCTATATGATTAAGATCTATAACAAAGACTTAATTTCATTAAGATTCTATCATCCGCATTAATTGTTACTTTTCACTACCGCCTACTATTATCAACTATCACCATGCCACCTACCATCACCACCACCAACAAGCCGCCACCATTATTGACAACCATCTCCCACCATCCCCACTACCCCCCGCCTCTATTATTAACCAAAAAAAAAAA